GCCCAGAGAAGGCGGGAGGGAAGTCGAGGGAGGGGGGATGGAGGGAAGCGGCTTCCGCTCGGCAAACACAAACTTGTTTCTCCTCCTCCTCCATCTTTCACAAATTCCTGGTGCCCGTCACCCCGCTGGCCGCTCCGAGGGTTTTAATCAAAAGGGAAACCAACATTTGACGTGCGCACAGTGGGGAGAGGAGAGGCGACGAGGAGGGAGGGGGCTGCCGGCCTGAGGCCAGACAATGTCCCCATATGGAGAACAGAAGGATGCCGGGGCGGCCGCATTCAGAGCCGTCCCTCTGCTCCCCCTGCGCCGCATGGCTCCTGCTTGGTGGACGAGCTCTTAACATAACAAGGGGGGTGAGGGGACGGCCAGCCCATGCTCACACCCCCGGATTCCTCCAGCCCATCCCTGGTTTCCCAGCTACTGATCCCAGTAGCCCATGCCCTCTTCCTGTACCGGTTCTCAGCACATCCCCGGCAGCCCTATTGTCTGCCAGCCGCTGCGATGGGAAGCAATGCTCCTGGTCCATGCCTGATAAAAGGCAACAAACAAATGGAAGAAAAAACAATGCATATGTCCATGTGCATATATACACGTATGTATGTACACATACGTATGTCTATGCAATAAATAAAACAAACCAGCCAAGCCCTCCAGGCGATCTGAGCTCTGCCTATTGTTCAGGACGAGGGCTTTCCTCCCTCCCCTCCCATCTCCTAATGAAATCCCCCAAGCTCTCCTCCTTTCTCCCCCGCCCCTAAAGGGCACTCACATGGGCGTGCTCTCAGGGACTTTGTCTCCTACAGCTGGAGCAGCATAGGCTGTCAAGATGGGAAAACCTTTGATCTGCCAAGGCTGTAGGTGACAGAGGCTTCTTTAGACCTAAACCTCTCCAGAGCCTCTTCGAAGCCCTTCTCACTCCTCCATGTGCTGCCATTTGATCTGGAGCATCCCCCAGACCTACTCCTGCCTCCCCCTCCTCCCTTATCCTGCAATTGTACATTCTTGCACCTAGCCTGGCCATGTGCCTTCGCTGAGCAGCTCTGAGCTGAGTCCATGTTATTTCTCCAAAAACAGAAGAGCAGACTGGGAAAGAAATTCATGGTAGGTGAAACAGCTCATCCCAGTATGATCCATAGAGCATGCATACAGGAGACAGATGATGGCCATGAATTTTTACAGGGCATCACAGAGAAAGCCCACCTTTGCTTTCTCTAAGCCTTCTACTTACAGAGGGTCTTAAATACGAGGCTTAGCTGAGCATCAGAGGCCACTTTTCATCAGTGATAAACATCAGTTGCTGCACATATTGCTGACAGCATGGCAGGAGAGGGCTCTGCAGTGGTGGTGCATGAGCTGGCACAAGCTCCTTCCCTGATTTTAATTGCAAAGCTGTCCATTAAAATTCTGGTCTCTAAGAAAGGCCCTGAAGTTTTGCTAGTTTCCAAGAACTAATGACTTGTCCTCTGGTTTGATGATCTTGGGGGACATTGCACTTTGCCTCGATTTCCCCAGCAATAGGATGGGAATACTACTGAACCTCTTCATCAAGTTCTTGGAGCTCAGCAAATAAAATATGCCATAAAAGATATTGATTGCTATACTATACTGTACTATACAATACTTAATAGGAAGACTGGAAAAGGCCCCAGCGCACCCTGACCCACCACCAGCCAGCTGGGCTGGTTATGGGCTGCTCAGCTAGGAAGAAAGCAAAATCGCCACAGTTCATGCCAGCTGGATGAACAAAGCACACCGTATGATAAAGCTCGTGGCTGCAGAACGTGGGCCTGCATGGGTCCTGAAGGCCTCCAGCCCTGGGCATCGACTGCCAGTGAGGGGCTCTGTCTGTGCTCTCGGGCTGTGATTGTGCTCATCCTCCATCCTCTGCAGAAAACCCAATTTCTTTGCACAGAGAAGGCGACTTCCCCTCCTCGGTGACTCTGTCTTTTTGCCTTCCACTGCACACAAAAATGCTGACGGATTTCCCTGATCACTAGCCATGCTGGCTAGTGGCTAGAGCAGTTCATTTCAGACCCTGCACAGGTATTTCTTACCATATATTATAGTGAATAATGTATCCCCAGCCATGCAGCACAAGGCTTATAAGGCTATCTCAGTATTCTGGTGACAGCTTTAAACCACTCGACCATTGACCATTCAGGTCTCATGGTTTATAGAGTCACCAGCACACCTTGACAGGGTTATAGCCTACTTATTGGTATAAAGCATGGTTAGGGATACATTATTATAGCACGTTGCTTCTGAAACAGGGCTGTGGGCCATCGGTGGCCTAGAGAGCCCTTGCTGGTGATCTGCGAGGGGCTGTTTGATGTGGACAGCACGATTAACATCTACCTGCTAAATCGCAAGGAGCAATTGCTGGAGTGACCCAAGGGACTGCGCTCACTCTCAGACCCAGCAGGACAGGTGGCTCTGAGAAGAGAGGGGCTCCAAGTTTCCCGTGTGCTATGGAAATGGGCACACAGCTGTGCCCAAGGAACTCCCTTTGACACTGATGGCCCAAAGTGCTGCAGTCCTCAAGCTCTTTTCCTATCCAGCAGGCTGAAAAAGGCTTTGGTGAGAGCTGCCCCTCCTCTGCATGGCTTAGATCCATCTTTCTGGGCGGCTTCAGGCTGGATGCAACCTGTCTTGCTTCTGTGCAAATGCCAATTTGGTTTGGCTCATGTAGATGCTCATTAACGATTACTAGAGTTAAGGCAGTTAATCACTACAGCTGAGGCTGAAATCTGACTTTTCTTCTAATTCCAATTCCCATCTTTGCAAACTTTCCACTTTCCACAGAAAGGTTTCTTCCCGACAGCCTTTTCCAGCCTTGTTCTCTGCAGTGATGATTTTATTGCAAAGTTGCTGAGGATTATCTGAATTACCTTCCAATGCAACATGCACTTGCTGTATTTGTTACTGCAGAGCTGAGACGATTTAACAAACAACCCAGGTTAAAAACATTGACCTAAGGTTCCTTCCTGATCTCATTTGATTTGTTAAATATTGAGCCAAATGTGGAGAAAAATTAGCTTGATACTTTGAAAGTCCTCAGAACTGGAACTCAGCAATAATGCAGCTGTGCTTTAAAATTTCTCTGCCTGCATTCCCTCTTTAAGTGCTATTAAAGGAAATATTTGCTAAGGATATTTCAGTTATAGGGCTAGTTAAATGGATCCATTACGGAATTACTACATGCCAATGTTCAGGATGCCTGTGAAACAAATGGACTCATTTTCTCAAATGTTATGTTTAAGTCTCGGAGAGCTCTCGACCACAGCCCTGTTTGACATGTGCCTCCTCACTGCCTTCTCTTGGTTTCCTCCACAACCTTGGTCCCTCGAAGATTTATGCATGCGATTAGCTTTAAGTGTGTAAGCAGCCCTCCGAGCTTGGCAGGATGGCTGCAGGCAGTGGGGTGAGCACACCCTGAGGGGCTGTGATTGGTCTCCGCACCTCCCTGGGTGCCACCACCAGATGTGCACAGTTTGGGCTCCACCAGCCACACAGACCTGAGTGGGGCAGATATCCTTGTGACGTCATGCCTTCCCGAGCGAGTCAGAGCACACACTCAGAGGTTTTTTTGTGCCAACTTCAATTTTCTTCCACCTTTCTGCAAGCTGCGGGGGGATGACAGGCGATATTTTAAGGCATAAAGTCAGAGTCGCGGAGAAATAATACCAAATGCACATTGAGTCTGCCAGGAGAAGTTAACCTGTCAGCACTCTCCGGAGGGATCTGAATTAGCAAATCAGCTTCACAGAAGAGCAGTGGCTCTGCCCCGCGGCCATGATGTTTCTCACCCAGGACTTGGAGCTTGCAGCCCAACTTTTCACTGGTTGAACCCAGGCTCCTGCAGATTTAGGAGAACAGTGTTCTTGCTTGCCCTTTTGCAGTGAGTTCTGCAAGTGCAAGACTTTGGAGAACTTTCACAAAGGTATCATATAATGCAGCAAGCAGGTGTGAGGCTTTAGGTCTTCCTGCAGTTATTTTACTAAAGGAGGGGAAGGCACAAATGCTGAAAGCAAAGTCAGACAAGCAGATGAGCTTTTGTGGACGTACGTTTGTACTGTCATTTCATAGCCTGTGCAAGATGGTACACGTAGAAGGGGAGAGAGCAGGAACAGGGCAAGTATTGCTGCCAGAACATTTAACAGCACAGTAACCTCTTCAGAAACCTGGCCCTGAGCAGTTTGACATGCATGCATGGCACTGCAGAGGGTGAGACAGCACCGACATTATGGATGTACCAAAGCTTATTTCTGGCAACACGGTTGCTTTGCATTGATCTTCTCAGCTCAGGTTTGCTCTTCCTGTACAACAAACATCCACAATCACACCTCTCCCTCTCTTGCCACAAACCTCTTCTACCACATCCTGGTCTCCTTCCTTGGGGCTGACCAGGAGCACAAGAACCAGCCCACCTCCATGAACGAACAGACAGATCAGAGCACAGATGGAGCAACTGCAAGATACACAACTAATTAAATGCACAAGTGTGGGGTATTTATAACTGTAAAATGCTCACAAAATTCAGAGGCACCTAAGACTTACGACAGCATTATCCACTGGTGCTGCAGAATTAATGGATAGCCTCTCCCAATGTGCTAAAGCAGACAACAGAGGGGGTACTCTGTCATCCAGGGGTGAGAGCGGGGAATGAATGCATATACAGTACTCCCCTCTAATGCTAATGGACCCTAGCACCGAGATTAGATTTACACCCTCCCTCCAAACGTACAGCAGGGGAAGGCAGCTCCCCCGGGCGGCCTTCTGAGCACTTCTGAGCGATGCTGTGCTCTGCTCTCCCCACCTCATCCCCTCATCCTCTACCACTGCCCCACTACCATGTGGGCACCACAGTGCTTCCCCTGGCCCTGTGAGGCCCAGGATGGGGCTCGGCAGGAGCTTGGCACTGCCCCCACACGGTTCTGCTGCAGGCTGGAGTGCAGGCTACCAGGACCTGAGTGACAGCCTGGTCCCCAGGACAGCCCAGTCCCCAGGACGGCCGTGCTTCATCCCACGTGCAGGGTTCGCTCCTGGCAGCACTGCATCTCAGCCATGGGGAGGAGTGACCACAGGCCTGCTACAGCTCTCCCGGCAAATAATTCACACCAACTTGTTTAAAGGAGCAAATGGGTTTAATTATTAGTTACAATCTTGTCAATAATTATCACCCCATCTGTGGGTAATAAATGGCAGCTTCTCACAGACTGCATCATTAGAGTTTAAGGACACCAATGGGGTGCATTAAAATGCTGAGGAAAGCATTGATCTGGTGTAAAAATGCTCTTTACAAATTACAGGCATGGGTCAAGTGAGTCCTCCCTCTCCCACCGCGGCCGGCCTGCCCTCTGTGCCTTCCCCAGCCCACCCCTGGCTGCTGGCAGCACAAAGACCTGCTGCAGGCTGTGGGGATGTGGCCCTGTGTAGTGGGGTTCCATGCAGAGAGGGACACAGAGCACTGAAGGAGGTGTGCAAGGCAATGCCAGCTCCCTCCTGGTCAGCTCTGTGCTTTGTTCCCACCAAGGAGCCGGACAGACTTCCTCACAGCAATGGGCAAGACGTGGAGGAAGATGGAGGCAACGTTTCCTGAAACACAGCCACTTTTGGGATGGAGAAGCATCAGTCATCACACAGCAGGATTTCTTGGAGGAGAAATGATAACTCTTTTCTTTTTTTTTTTTCTTCCCTATTTGAACTGCAGGCTGGAATATAGGCCGGCAGAATGTAATTATCCAGCCTGGAATTTGGCCAAGATGCTGGGGCTAACAGCCCTACTGTTTCAAAATATGCCACAGTACCCTAAATGATCACATCTTGCAGGATTTGATTTTGCATTTCATCCAAAACAATGTTGGGAAGGGAAGGAGGAGAGTAGGATGAGCACCAACTGGTCCCATCTAACCCCATATTTGCTGGAAGTTTAGCCCTGAGTGGCTCCTGACATTCAATTTCATTTTCTGTGAAAAAATTGCAACAAGTCAGAGTTTTATTCCTTTTGTAAATTCTCCGCAAGCGGATTCCAGCCTCCTCAGTGAAAAACACATCTACTTTCAGAAGGCGAAACTACAATGAAGCAAGACATTTCCATTCAAAAGAAAAAACAAAACAAAACAAAAAAGAGAAGGGCATTTCTTTCCTCTACAACAACATCTGAGAGAGACCTTCTATTCCCCCCCCCTTCCCTTTTTCTTTTTTTTTTTAAAGCCTGTTAGGAAAGAGGATTAAGATAGCTAATGGGCGGCTTGTATTGGCAAACAAAACTAACACCCAAGCGATTCTTTGCATGCACGCACAAGTGGCAGGCTCTCCATTAGGAGAGCGGCACTGACCGCGGCAGGCCGGATAGCGTTGAGCCGCGGGGTAAACAAACCTCAGGCTGGGCCCGTGCGTGGCTCTGCCCAGCACCCTGCCCTGGTGCTCCCCAGATAACTCCAAATGATCTCTGTTGTTTCCAATGCTATGCAAATATTGGCAGAAGCACGTACCGCAGATCCGACCACAGCCCAACTTTTGGGAACGCGGCGTCAGATTTGCCGCTGCTCTTTTTACTCCAGTGGATAAAGTTTATTTGCAGAATAAACGGTGCCTTCAGCTGACAGGCTGCTGGCTAGCTCATGCTGAATTTGGCCAGTCATCCGCCACCAGGGGAAAATTTAAATGGAAATGTTAATTTTGAAAAGTCAAAAGGTTTCATTTTATATTTCGGGAAAAGAATAATTGCAATTGATTTTTCATGTTGAAATGGTCTTTGCTGTGTGAAATAACTGCTTTTTTTACAAAAGACAGTGGCCATCGACGTATCTCATTTGGCCTGGACAACTTACAGTGTCCTTCTGCTTTACTGAAATATATCAGAAAATAAAACCCTTCTCAGGTTAACCAGAAAAAGCCAAAACTCTCTGAATTCTCAGTTGGACAAATGGAAGAAAAAGTAATGATTCTCAAAGTCCTAATGAAACAACCCAAGTACTCAGTGGCACCTCCTTGCGCTTGCCACAGTCAGCTCTCATCATGAGCCGTGCTTTAAGCCTCCTCCATGCAAACCTCCTCCACGTAATCTCACACACTTGCAGACAAGAGGGAAGGTTTTCCCTGTGATCAGTCCTAGTGAGCAGCCCTCCACCCCGAGCACATCAGCTCCAGCACTTGCAGCAACAGAGGGATGTTCAGAAGCCATTCTGGGTGCCAGAGCTGTCAGGAGCCCCAGAAGAGAGTGTGGAGCATCCCACCAGCTCTGTATAGGAACCAAAACTGCCTGGCTCCTTCCTGGTTTCCATCACAGCTCTCTTTGCCATCCTGGAAGGAAGGAAGATAAACTGAAATGCAGGAAATATCAAGTTCAGTTTTTAATTTGTAGGCAATTTGTATTTTACTCTTGAATATCAAGGTAATTCCTTTGATTTCCTGAAAAGATAAGCAGATCCTAAAAAGCAGTGTGACTTTCAGAAAGAATACCTGACAGGTAGCCTGCATCAGAAGCAAACGATTCCCACGTTGTAATGCATAATGTCCAGTAAGTTCTGCATGAGAACTGGAGCTGCCCACTGCACAAACACAATTCCACCCATCGAGTGTCCCGCTCATTCATGGTACCTGTTCCTGTTTTATTTTGTTCCTGTTCAGAAAAATACCGAGCTTCTTACTTGACCGATGCGGTGCCACAGGCAGTCTGCAAACACAAATACCCTTGTTTGGAGAAGATACGCCCTGGCTGATTTGAAAAATCCCTAAGCCATGCATTCAAAATGAATCAGATTTGATTCATGACCGATTGAGTAAGGACAGAGAATGGAGGGCCTGGCATGGGTACACAAACGTGGACGATCATATGCTGAGTTCACTGCAGCACATTGTGCGCCTTCTTCTATTTCCCTTTTTGTGAAATTCCCAGCGGGTCACTTTGCTGTGAGGGATGTGCTGCGAGGCAGAGGGCACCAAGTGAACGTGGGAGAAAAATCACAAAGCCACATCCAAGGGATTCCCTGTTGTGGCTGAAGGTGCTGACCCTGGGTTTGTGCGTGCACGTGCACGTGTGTTTACACAGTCCATTCGCACACACACGGGAGCACGCACACACATTGTGAAAACGTATGTGCATATATTCCCATATTCACAATGACCTGTTTATGAGCAAGCTATCAAGAAGGAGTTTTCACTGAAATTATTCAGTGAATGACTTCAGACAATGAATACATTGCAGGAAATGGCGATTGGCTCCAGAGCAATCCACGAGCAGAAAAGGAGGCAAAAGCAGTTGAATAAATGGGTGGCTATGAATTACTCATTTAGCTGCATTATCTTATTGTGGTCCCAATTCAGCAAATGCCTAAACATCCACTTCCCATTAAGGGCATGAATAGTCCCATTGATTCAATAGGGTTATTTTCTCTGCCTTCCATGGGGCAACTCAAATGCTTAAATTTAAGCAAGTGCTTAAAGTGCTTTGCTGAATCAGGAGGTATGTCCACGCTGTATATACCTGTGTTATACAGAAGGTCAGATTAGCTGATCAAAGAGTCCTTTATGCTCTCAAGATCTATAAATCTGTGAATATAACCAGCCTTTGCTGGAATTGCTTCTCCATAACCTTCCTGAGCACCGAAATTCATCCACACCCCAAAAACATTAATAAAACACTCTCTTTTTCATACATATACTCTTTTCATATTATACTAAGTACTCCACTAAATAAACCTCTTAATATTCCAGTATATTTTGCAATGAACATTTTCCTGGTACGCTAGAGCGATTCCTCCTTTTGTGCCATCCAGAACACAATCCCCATGAAATACTGCAGTAAACATTTCTCTGAGTACTACAGCAAACACTACCAGCATTAGCAGATTAACCATTCCACTGAGCGCCATATTAAGCACACGTTTAAATACTGAGAAAAGACGTATAGCCTCCTCCTTCCACTGCGCCTCGTTACCCTCACGAGATCCATATTTCTCGGCATCCCCACCTGCATCCGCGCAGCTCCCGCTCCTCTCTTTCTCCCCTCCTTGTTTTGTTCCTGCTGGGAGTGCTCTTCTGGCTGAGGAGATCTTTCTTGAGGCAACAGGGGCACAAAGGGTGGGCAGATTGGCGCATTGTTCAGCCACAGATTTGATAGCAAATCCACACGGTGTGTGTGGAACTCTGCTTTGAAGTCTGGTGATGGAGAGAGACAGTTTACCTGCAGGTCTCCCTCCCCTGACCAACAGAAGTACGCTGTGCTCTGAAGTAGCAGGTCTTCCCCAGTGCTGTTTGGAGTTATAAAGCATTGTTTGAGTTTTACAGGTGTATTTTAATGTCAGAGAAATTACTGAGCACAAAACCTTCAATGGATTCATCTTCAGCAAGTGTTTAAGAGCCATTGACTCGTCTCTTGTTGCTGACAAACCATCTAGATTCAACCCAGGGTTCTGTTCAGCTTTTCTCCTTTCCCTCCTCTCTCTCTTTCTCTCTCTTTTTTCCTCCTTTTTTTTTTTTTTTTTTTTTTACTAGCAATTTGATGTTTGATCATTTGAGGCAATGAGGCGGAGGGTAATTTACGTTATCAGGGAGGTATGAGGGGTGCTGGGAACCCAGACGCAAGGCCCATTCGCCTGCTAAAGCGCCATCGTAATGTAATGAGACTCCAGTCAAGTGCAGCTAGTAATGGAGAGGAACATTTCCCATTCATCTGCCTACCTGAGACTCCACGAAGACGACAATAACTTTTGCACGGGAGGAGCAGGGGGGGACACAGTGAAGGGGGGCCGGTGTCCCCGCAGCACAGCTCGCTCTGGCTGGCAGAGAACCACCATGGCCTCACTCTGGGGAGCAGAACAACACAGCTGTGAGCTGCGGAACAGCTTGTTGGGTGGCTCAGCCTCCCCATCTCGGACATCCAGCCCACACCTGGCTTGGTCCCATAGTCCCTTATCCCCCTCTCCCAGCTATGGAGACACTATTGCCTCTGTAGCACCTCTGTGATGGAGCCTTGGAAGCAGCACCGATAACTACATGCCCACCACCAGCACCAACAGCAATGCATGCACTCAAGTTCTCGCTGCTCTGCACGTTTTATTTGCAGGCTGAGGGTAATTATAGCTGGAGGGAACCTCCTGGATGCAGGCAGACCTCCTGGTACTGACAGCCAGTGCATGGCAAGGGGTGGGTGGCAGGGGAGAGATGCAGGGGCGGGAGAGATTTGTTTCCTCTCTGTCCCAAGCTGGTTGCTTGTTTCCCAGAACTCAGCCTGAGAAAGGGAGCAGAGAGCCGTCTGCTCCCCCTCACCAAATTCCTGCTGCACGGACCCTTCCAATTATACCCAGGTCTGAAAGGCTGCTGTCAGGATGAAAGGCACGGAGCAGTAATGAACTGACGATTAATTTGCAGTTGGCTCACCCAGCGCGCGATCCTCGCTCAGGCTCGCTGCGTGCGGGTGCTAAATATGACGATGTCAGCAGTTGTCAGCCAGAGCCAGGGCTGCCCCTCACACCAGCCTTTCCCTGCCACACTGCCAGGGGCTCCATCCCAGCTCTAGATTCCCAGCAGCACAGGCAGCCCTGGGCCAGCCCTGCAGCAGCCACAGCAGCATGGGGAAGGGGCCCCATTGTCTGAAGGCCTGTGCAATACACTTCACATCCCTTGGTCATCTACATTATTAGAGTTGGCTTCCAGTTACCACAAAGAGATGTATGGGGATCAGTTACTATGCTGGCAACCCTGTTCACAGCTTTGGGATTGGAACTAAATGATCTTAAAGGTCCCTTCCAACCCAAGCCATTCTGTGACTCTATGATTCTATGATCTGAAAGATAGGTGCACCTTGAGTATGGACATCTACGGCTTCAAAGACCTGATTATGAGAGCATGAAAACAAGCTGCAAATAGCTGAAAAGCCTGGGTTTACAAACCAATCACTGTACCTTCCTGAGGCAAACACTGAAGCATACATGTATCTAATCAGTGTCTATCCCAGAATGTGCATAACAACCCCAAAACCAGCAATTACGGTTGTGGGATGCTTGTGCAGCTTGTGTGCTCTAATGTCACAGAACCATAGAGTCACAAAATCATTAAGTTTGGAAAAGGCCCCTAAGATCATCTAATCCAATTGTTCACCTACCACCAATACTGCCCACTAACTACATCCCTCAGTGCCACATCTTCACATTTCCTGAACTCCTCCAGGAACAGTGACTCCGTCACCCCACTGGGCAGCCTGTGCTGATGCATTACCGCTCTGAGAAGAAATGTTTCCCAATACCCAACCTGAACCTCCCCTGGTGCAACTTAAGGCCATTACTTCTTGTCCTTTTGGCTCACCTGAAGATGGTCTGCACCTCCTTGATGGAGACTCAGACAGGCTGCCTGACAGATTCTTCTCCTTAGAACACGTTTTCTTAGGAAGATTCACATCTGAGCTGTCTGTGAATTCACGGCATTTTCAGCAGCTTGTGCTGTTCAAAGTAGCAAAACTGAAGCCCTAGAAAAAAATACTCCAGAAAACTGAGCATCTTCTCTTTTGACAGATCCTGAAAAAGCCCTCTGATCACTGGTTCAGAATGACGTTTCCTTTCTAATGTTATTTGGATGCTATTAGACAATGTTTACAGAGTTCAGTCACCAAAATAAGCATACTTTTTCACATTGAACAAGACATTTAATTTGATCAGAACTGATGACTTTTTTCCTCCCCCAGCCTGTTGATTTGCAAAAAAAGAAAGCTTCGGTGGAACCAAAACAAGATTATGGCCAGATACGTGCATCACTGAAATTGCCTGCAACGCGTAAATCTGCTGTTTGCCCACTCCCACTACACGCATAATTTTGTTTTATCACTTACAGTCCCGGGGTGCTCACACAACTTGGCAGTCAGTTTCCCAGCATGAAATTACACCTGTCTGGAAAAATGCACAGAATATAGACAGGCAGAGCGATATACAGAGATGGGCTCTACTTGCAAAGCAAGCGCTCAGATGGCCTGAGGGCTATGACAAAACAGACACGGTGTCAGTGTCACAGCCCCCAGGTGCCCTGGCAGCGTTCAGTGGCCCAGAGTCTGTATCACCACAGGTTCTGTATGCAGAGGTGTTCACTGCTGGCTGTGAGTCTCTGTGCATCTTATACATCTGGCTATCATTCCAGGTTTTGATTTCTGTGCTCCCTCTGCACAGTGCTAAGCCAGGCTTGATGGCTCCCCACGAGAGCAGTGAGCAAAGCCAGGCTCTAGTCAGGTGCCTCGACAGCATTGACACCACATGGCAGGTGATCCTGGCTGCACTGCAGTCACATGAAGCCCAAACCTGAGGGCTCTTCTGCAAAGGAGACCTGAGCCCTTTAAGGAAGAGAGGAGCAGAAATCAATTGTCTGCTCGCCTTCCTCCCCAGGCCCCCCTTTCTCCCTCCTCCATCACCACCACCACCACACACGCACCCTATTCACCCTGCTGGAAGGTGACATTTGCTATTAACCTTATATTGGGCCATTTTGTAAATCAATGTCACTTACATTTAATAACAAGTGTAATCAAAGGAATTATGCAAATTTAATTTGATGCTTCTTGAATTATGCAAATCTGCACCACATATAATGGCTTCTGACATGTGCCCAGTTGGAGAACGTTCCATTACCTCCTCTCTTATTACCCCTATTATTATTTTTATTTTTTTATCCTGTGGTGGGGGGGAGGGAGAAGGGAGGGAGAGGCAGTTAGGCTTGGAGGCAGGGGGGACAAGTGAGTGCAGAGGGAAGAGAAGGGAAAGAAGAGGGGTGGTAGAGGAAAGCGCTTCTTTGCCTGCATTTCTAGTAGCAAAGCCTCCTGAAGGCATTTCTGTTATTGTTATTGCAGAGCAAGGAGAGTGGGGCAGGGAGGGAGGAATGGGGATGGGGGGGAATCATTTCCCATGAATGGCTTTGCAGGCAATAATACTATAAGCCTCTGATTCTAAATTACTGCCCTTCCAGTCCTATCTCCAGCACAATATTACTCTCCTCAGCCTCCTCTTCCTGAATTATAAGGCAAGCTGGGGGAGGGTGAGAGAAGAGGGGAGCAGAGTGGAATACACAGGGCAAATGGGTGAAAAAGGGGTTAGTTCTTGTTGCTCCAGGGCCACCCCAGTCTTACTGGAGAATAACTCTTTTTTTCTCCCTCTTGGCTTTCCCATCACTCGCTCATTTCCTTGCATGTGACCCTGAGATCAGAAGACAGATTTGCCACAAACTGCTGTATCTTCTCAGAAACTTGTGGCATCAGTACCCAGTAGTAATGCTCTTCCTTCTTTTGCAACAGCTTGTGGTCCACAACACTACAAGTCAGCGTGGACCAGCCTCCTCCTACACTGCTTTTTCTCATTAGAGAGGATTCAGTGAGCAGGGCTGGGTCACATTTTCCTCTTCTGTACTACTCACAGCAGCCGCAGAGTGACTTTTCAGGACAATTGATACAGTGTGACCTTAGGCAAAAGCAGTCCCACGTTTGTCTCGGTATCTTAACGCTTGTACAGTGCAAATATAGAACTTAATCTGTCTTCTGGAAGAAGGAGAAGAAAGAGGAGACAGCACTTTCAACAGTTTCTGTGCTCCTCTGATGGAAGTTGGTACATGGCAAGAGGGCATGCCTCCACCATTTCCATAACGGAATGAGTCTCTCACCGGAAATCTCCCTCTGCCTAATTAGAGAGGTGAATGGCAGAGGAGGATTTCTACACTTCTTAGTTCGGAGACTTGACTTCTGAACAAGATGCTGTCTTATCATGCTGTGAACTTATGAGTTTTAAAAGGCTCCATTTACACTTACTATGTTTTCTTCCAAAATGCTGCCAGAACACTGATTTTGTTCCCTCTTTGCTCTCTAAATTTCTGTTTCATTACATAGTCCTGAGAAGACTGAAGGGGTTTTTTTGCTAATGGAAGGAAATTTCTAGAAACTTACTCTGCAGCTGGATTTAAAACACTGCAAAGTAGAAGATTTTTTTAGTTGATTTTTTTTTCCTGCCTGTCAAAAAAAGGTAAAAGGTGAAGGTTTTATTTTTTAATGGGATATGTAATTTGCAATGTGTTCTCATAGAAACTTGTTGTTAAGGAATTGCCTTCACGCTTTCCAAACTGAAAACATTTTAAAGTTCATGTGGGAAAAACCACATTTCAGTCAGATTTTTATAGCATGGTTTTTATCGATGATGAGGTGAGATGCATCTGTTTACCCTACACGTGCTGATGGTATCTGGCAGCACCACCAGCACCTTTCCAACATCATCAAATCACCACCACTGCCACCAGCTCTCCTTGGGGCCCAGACAGAAAACAAGGGCAGACCTTCAGCTGTGCCGGCAGATGGAAATCCTGCTGGGATGCCCGGGCCCAGTGTCTGCTCCAGCCCTCACCCAGGCCCAGCATGGAGGTGTCTGTCAGGGGAACGTCAATATTTGTATCTGGCACTTGCTCACTTCCACATGTGGTTGTTGATTCACTGCCCAGAGACCCGTGTCTGTCATTAGGAGGCTGAAGAGAAGAATGAAGCTCATTTCAGAGTCAAATACATCAATAATCTCTGAAGTCCCCTTCTGCCCAAGGTTTCCAGACTGCACAGAGGAGAGAGAACTTGCCTTCTCTTACTTTTATTTGCCTTGCCTTTTTTTGCCTGGCCTTGCCATGAGAACAGATGAGACTCATTGCTCCCATAGGCATGGGTGCGATCAGGACCCACTCCTGTCTCCTGGCACCAGGTGCTGCACAGGTAGAAGTTCCCATCACAAAGAGCTGCAGCTGAAGCCATGCTGCTGCAGGTGCCCACCTCACACAGCCCCTGGCTCTGAGGATGCTTCTGGATAAGGAGGTTAATGAGTGCGTGGAGCTGAACTTGTCCCTGGCGCTAAGCCTGCTGAGGTCAATGGAGGCATCGCACAGCCCAAAGGGGCCTATTCCTGAATTCCAGAGGTGTTTAGCAGATACAGGTGCCTCTCCCGTAGAGAGCTCAGCTCGTAGCATGCTGCCTCATAGCTGATGTTTCTGGGCTTAGCTCTCCATGGAGCTTTTCAGGGCAACATCACTGAATGACTCCAAGTGTGAATATTCCAGGATAAAAGGGATTTGTTGGGAATAGCTGTTGGAAACAGCCCTGTATGTGTGGAACACCCTGTAGGGCCCACAGCAGCCTGCATTACCCAGATGAAAGTTAAAGCTGGATACACTGGTAATCATTGAGACCTATGCTCACTGCTTACAGTGTGCTCTCCTGCTTCACTGCATGATAGTCCCATAGTCTCACAGCCTTTCACCTGGGATCATGCTTTCTAAACATACTGATGCTGACTCGGAAATAGACCATGTGAAGTTTCCAGGTCCAGGCTGAAAGACCTTTGTCCCATTGCCAGAAGGAGGGATTTGCTTGGCCTGGGCTCTGGAGGGGGCATGCTGGGCTTCCCACGGGTAAATAAATAGAGTGGGGAAGTGCCCTGGAGGCCATCATTGACACAAGGGTTCTAAAATGGGCTGTTCCCAGCAGGAGGCCCCTCTGCTTGAAGTTTACATGCTCTCCCCTTCCCTGGAAATCACAGGTCATCGCTTGCAGCCACCTCCTCCCCACTAAAACTGTAATCAGCTAAGAGCCATAAAAACACGGCTTAGAAAGGGTTGGGAATGTGACCTCATGAGAAAGGAAATGCTGACCAAGTAAGCATGAAGTATCCCAGGAAACAGTTTGGAAAGAACAGGCTGAAGGTGCAGGAGAATACCTTGTTATGGAAGATGGTGAAGGCTCCACTCCACGCTTCAGCTTCCTCATCTGCAAGGTGGAGATGACAGGGCACAAACCCTCACTCCACAGAAACCACCAGCAGGGACTCTTTTGCAATATCACTCCGCTGGCATCATTGGAGGAATCTCTGCTGAGCAAGGAAAAAAGAAGTGCTGAGGGCGATGTTCCATTTAGCCTTCCCTGGGCAATGCCAGAGGATGGAGATTTCACTGGGAAGGAACCAAAGTTTCTCCTTCCTCTTAAGGCAAGTGAAAGCAGGATAAAATTTCATGAGGAGTGGGTCTTAGTCTGGTACCAAGGAACAGGATGTAAGGACTAGATAAGAAACACAGAAACTGGACAGGTAGACCAGCTAATTTTTTTATAAAGAACTAATTCTATATTTTGTAATTACGTCTTTAGTGACTTCTGGGCTCTGCATTACATAATTTGCAATGCTCCCACACCTTCAGGCTCATTTCTCACTTCTCCAACCCCAACAAATGGGTGCAACCCTGCCTGCAGATATCCTACCCAGTTATTCCTGCTTCATCCCAGGGCAGTAGTCCTGTACAGCCAGCCATGCTTGGTTTTCTCCTTCAACATCCGTTCTGAGAAGCTGGCTCTTGGCACTGCAGGGAGAGGGATTATTTGTTCTTTATTGATTTATGGAAAGGAAGGAAGAGGGTGAAAATTGCAACGAAAGGGACAGCCAGCAAGATGGCAAGGAAGAGAGGTTAAAAATGAAGTCATCATCTAATTGGCCCGCAGTGAATTATTCACATGTATAATCTTTTTTAAAAAAAAATTCAGCACAAGGCAATGCAAGTAAATGCTGTTCATGTTTAAAAGTCATTTCCATAAGTAAGTGCAATTTCTCTACTGTTTGCCCCTGTTTAATGAAGTGAAATCTTGTTTGCATTCCTCCCAATTTCCCAACGAAAGGCGCCCAAGCGTTTGCACCAAAATTACTCGGCCCAAATTAAAACCCTCCAACACTTTAAAAAAAAAAAAAAAGGAGAAGGGGGGAAAAATAAGACTTATTTTTAAAATGCCTTAAGTGCATCCCAGCATCCTAATTTATTTTTAGACACTCGTTATTAAGAGTAGTAGTAAGTTTCCCCTTCTCTCTCGCTCTCTCTCTTATTTAAATGAACTTAATGGCAATAGATGCAAATGTCTGGAAGAGGAAAATAGTTAACATTTATTTATTCTTACTGTTGTCTCTTCCCTGGCTGGTGTCATTAGAACAGTTCGTTGCATCCCATTCGCTCCCATTAGCTCTGCTATCAGAGCCACCCAGCACGACTCCAGCACGGCTCGAAGTGCTTTCTGCGGCCCACATAGGGACTACATCATCATCTCCGAGGCACTGGCTTAATGACAAGAAAAAAAATTGGAATATATTGCACAGCGATGTGGGGAAACAACAACAAAAACCACCACCGCTGTTGTTGCCCATTGCTGCCCGCTCTTGATCCAACAACGTGTGGTTCTCCATTGGAGGATGGACGGACGGAACTCAGCACTGGGACAAACGTGCTTTCACAACCCACTGATGCAGGCAGTGTGCAGGGAAATACGGCAACAGGGACCCAGAGCGCTTCCAGATGCCCTCAGAGGACCCAGCAGAGCTGCGTTCCTGGTGGTGCAGCAGCCAAAGTCCCTCTGCAGTGCTGTATAGGGTGGATGTCCCCAGCATGGCCTGCTCCTGCCCACGCATCATGGCCTGCCTGTGTCACCTGTGTCACAGCACAAACATTCCTTCATGGAGTGGGACCAGTCCTGGATCCTCTCCATACCGTGAGTGTGGTGGAGGACATGTAGGCAGGAAGAGAGGCAAACCTCCTTGCAAGGAAGGAGACAGGTCCCTGGGTGCCCTGGCACGGAGAGGAAGGCAGTGAGAGGCAGAGAGAGATCCAGGGCTGTGTGACAGCGCCAGCTGACAAAGCAGCATTTGGGAGGGAGGACATCAGCATCTGCAGCGCTGACACATAAAAGAGAGGCAGCAGCTCTCACAGGCGGGGACTGAGGCACTGAGAGGGCCCTCCCCCTTCCATAAAGTTGACATTGTCTCCCATGATAACTTTTCTGCTGAGGTAGGAGACACTTTACTGCAGAGTTGCACACAGCAAGTAGCTGCCCTCCCCCCGCCCCTTCCCATCCTCTCCCTCTCCCTCTCTCTCCAGCATCATTTACATCCTTAATTAGCTGTAATTCTGCAGTGCTCATTAGGGAAGGACTGGAAAATATCAAGGAGCCTACAAGCAGGGGGCTTTGGGGGAGAGGGAGGAAGAGGGGGATGCGGCACCAGGCTGAGAGGGGATGCCCAGGGCTGGGCTGCAGAGCCAGGAGCCAGGAGCTGCTCACTTAATTTAAGTGGGATAATTACACTAATTTGGGAGCACTGATCCAGTGATGGGGTTAAAGAGGCCACACTGTCCCACCTAGAAAGGCAGAAGTCCAGAGAGCAACAGCATCTGACCAAGAGGGCTTGTAACTTCCCTGCTGGCGGATGAGGTCTCTCTGCTGGGTCATGCAGCCCCTCATGTCAGTGGTCAGATCCAGGGGGAGGGCAGACTTCCCTCTGCTCTGAGGCAGGTAGCCACACAAACCTGCACTAAGAGGAAAAAAAAAAAAATAAGAGAACAGAAGAGAAAGTAAGGAAGAAGAAAAAAAAAAAAAAAGAAATTAGAACTCAAAACTAAAGCCAAACATTAAATCCCACACTGCTGAATGGAGTATTTTCTCCAACCCCAAATGGATAAACAGCGTGAAGTTTTGTTGTTGGCCCAGTTATTTGATGTAATTACTCTGGGGACCAGCAGCAGACCTGGGCAGTTCTTGTCTGGACTCCTGTTAGCTCAGAAGTGTGCACACAGGCAGGGTGCAGCCCTGCCTCTTCACAGCCCCAAGGTACAAGACCAGTTAGGAGGCACGACAGCCTCCTTGCCTTAGCTGCAGGACCAGGAACAAGGAGGTTAAGTGCATTGGGCAAGGACACAAAGAAAAACTGGCAGAACCAGGAGGTGACCTCAGATTTCCCAGTGTCTCTCTCTGAACTGCTAATTGCAAGCCATCTTTCCTTATGCTATAGCACATGGACGTTTGTATGCCCACTTGCACTTGCTATTCTAGGCACACACTTGGCTATTTTTTAATTCACTGCCTCGCTGTATCTTTGCTCGAGGTTAGATGTGCATGTAAAAGACTATCGGGGAATTCAGTGAAGTTGACAGAGACGGTCTTTGCAAGTCCATCCTCCCACTTTTCACTTACTGGTAATAATGTGAGCCTACAGTTCCTTGGGGCTGAGCTGTGATGGTGTGTCCCACCAAAGACTCAAAATGATTACCAGTGCATGTGGCATTGATGCTTGTTTTGCAAATATAAGGGCACGTGCACAAATGGGAACTTGCACTTTCATATATCTTCCTCTGAATGACTTCTATTTTCACCTCATGAAGACATTTATTAACATCTTCAAATTCCCTCTAGTGTTTAGATGAAACTTGCCATAACAGAGAAACAGAATATATGAATGTGCCAGAACAACTCAGGAGAAAACCCCAGTGAAATGCAGCTTTAGTGGAGTGCCCAGGATCTTTGCAAAACTGCGTTTCAGTGGATCATAGTGCTGGCTCTGGGGTTTAACACAGATTAACACTTAACCAAGACAACTACTTACACCATTCAAGCAAAGACAAATCTGGCCCATCTTTTGCTATTAACTTCTGGCTTCTCATGTACTGTTTGGTTCATAGATCAGAAAATAAAATTTCCAGCTCCATTCACTCTATGTGAAATTCAAGTTGCAAAGAAGTGGCAGTGGAGATTACCTGGATCTTTAAAGCAGCACCTTCTCTGCACTTCCAAAGGACCATTTAGTCAAGATTACCAGTGACAGACTGACAAAGCCAAACCTTCCGAATGGATTGTGTCCATTATCTAGTATTTGGGAAGAAGGATGAAGATCAGGAAAAAAAAAAAAAACAACAGGCTAGCTCCCTATTGGAGATGTTTGGTCTGTACAAGGACAGGTGCCTCATCACGGCCTTTCATAGGAAGGGCTATAGATTCCCAAGCTGCACACCTGCTGAATCTACATGAGAGTCTGTGAGTTGCTACTGGATAGCTGAAGGCATCAGCTATAAGAGTTTATTTCCCTGGCCCACCTGCCCTTGGGAGCATCTTGTGGAGAAATGGGTCTGCACCCAGCAAGGCCTCCTGCTGAACCCACCCCTGGGCACCTCACCTTTCCCAGAGGGCTGGGGCAGCCAGA